CATATGTCCGCAACTCTTCCCAGAGAAAACCCCCTCACCCACTACCGCCACTCTAAATTCCTCGCAACCCAAAACCACCAAACCTCTCTCTTCCCCCATTTCTCTATAAACCCACAATTCCAGCCAATATATCGAAGAAATTGGACCCCAAAACTTGTGTATGCAGCCACAAATCAACGGCTCGGGATCACCGAACAAGAACAAGCCCAGGAAGAAGAAGAAGATGCAAAGGAGGAGGGGGAAGAAGAAGATTACGATTACTCGGGGGACGAGTCGTCGTTACTGTCTCTGAGTGAGAAGCCAGACAGAAACATGGCTTTGCTGGATGAGTACGAGATGGAGGAGCTCGAAGATGCCGCTGACCCGAATCATCGAAGCGGTAAGAAAATGATAAAATATCTTCTGGGTTTTGTTTAATTTTAGCAGAGGAATTTTGGGTTTTATTTAAGAGTTGGCATTGTGGATTTGATTGAGTGAAAAATGCAGGGTACGTGGCTGTGCTGGGGAAGCCGAATGTGGGAAAGAGTACGCTCTCGAATCAAATGGTTGGTCAGAAGTTGTCCATTGTTACTGATAAACCTCAGACTACCCGGCATCGAATTCTCGGTATATGTTCTGGCACAGACTATCAGGTAGCTGATATTATTGTTGGTTTTGTTTCAGTTGTTTATATGCATTTGTATTGAAGTCTCATTGAAAGCCATGAGAAATGTTGTGGTTCATATGTTGTTATAAACTATAATAACGGTGTAGTTTGGTTACTTAGCATATAAGGAAACATAAGGGAAATGGTAAATGCGGTTAAGTTTCTGAGGGTTTGAGGTGTACCCATTTGATGGTTCCCCGAGTAGCGATTTTTGCTTCAGGATTCATATTTTTAGGTTCAAGGTTTAATTTTGTAGTCCCTTATAAATAAGAGCCAACTAGTATCTTGGTTCGGACAGAAATAATACTCTATTGATGGTTTCGGAAGTTTTGGTAAAGCATATGGCTTTGACATTGATATGTTTGCAGATGATACTTTATGACACACCGGGTGTTATGGAGAAGAGAATGCACAAGTTGGATTCTATGATGATGAAGAATGTTCGCAGTGCTGCGGTTAATGCGGATTGTGTTGTTGTTCTTGTTGATGCATGTAAAGTGCCTGAAAAAGTATGCTTCTTCATTTGTAGGATTACCTATGAAACTTTACCATCATGTCCTTAGATCGTTTTCTCGTTTCTAGATTGATGAAGTGCTGGAAGAAGGAGTGGGTAACCAGACTGAAAGCTTGCCACCCATTTTGTTGGTTATGAATAAGAAGGATTTGATTAAACCTGGTGAAATTGCAAAGAAACTAGAGGTCAGTATTTGTTTACATGTATAACTACACACGTAATTCTGGATCTTGTTGTTTAAGCTACCTGTTGAGCCTAAAATAAGAATTACATCTTTTACAGTGGTATGAGAAATTTACAAACGTTGATGAGGTCATACCCGTGAGTGCCAAACTTGGACAGGGAGTGGAAGACGTCAAGCAATGGATTTTATCAAAACTTCCTTTTGGGCCAGCATATTATCCGAAGGTACGTGGAATTTCATGTTATAGACTCATGGTTGCCTTTCCTTTCTTTTGAAACAGAATTTCTTAATGGTGTTCCTATTTTATGGCTGCGAATGTTCTATTCTTGCCTTATCCCAACCATCAGGAGTCGTGTCGAAATTGCACAATGGTTATGAATGTCATAAGACTATCCATGCAATCAGACCTCGCATTCTAAGGGAACATAGAATTAATAAAAGAAAATAGCTTCAGTTGTAGGTTTTCTGGCATTAGTTTCACAATGCTTTCCATCCCAAAGAAGAAAACTATATCAGTGTAGAACTTTTGAAAGTTAGTTCCTTTTAAGCAGGAGTAAAAATCCATCTTCTGTATGCTTATTCAAAGTGGATATTTAGATGTCAAGAATATCCACAAGTGCTATTTTCATGTATGGAAATACTTATCTTTATTCTCTATGAGTCCTTAGGACATTGTCAGTGAGCACCCAGAAAGATTCTTTGTATCCGAAATTGTTCGAGAAAAGATCTTTATGCAGTACCGCAAAGAGATTCCTTATTCATGTCAGGTATGTAGTATAGAAGCTCAAAAGGTTTGGCTTGTGAGGAATGGTATCCAATCCCTAGAAAGAAACAGAATAAAATGATAATATTTATAGTTTCTTTTCTCCAGGTGAATGTCGTGAGCTACAAAACTAGGCCAACGGCAAAAGACTTTATACAAGTGGAAATTGTCGTTGAAAAAAACTCACAGAAGATCATTGTTATTGGAAAAGTAAGTAATCTTCAGTTGCAATACTGTGTCTACTTTTTTTTAGCTATTATGAAATAATAAGCTGGAAGATGAAATTTTCAAGTGCAAATGCTTGCAAAAGGACGTGCAAATTATATTCAAATTAATTTATCTTTATTTTCTTGATCAAAGATTTAATATGGGGTGTAAAGGCATGTATCACACAAAGCCACAGAGCTTTCATGTGCCATCACTGTAGGAAGAGATAGCTTGTCCGCTGATTTTGTGTCCTGAATAATTTCGTAGGAAGGGAGAGCTCTGAAACTACTTGCAACAGCTGCGCGGCTCGACATAGAAAATTTCTTGCAGAAGAAAGTCTTCCTAGAGGTGCCAAGTTATACCATGAACAATCTTTGTGCACAAACTATGTTAACTTTATCCTTTAATTGGCCATTGTCCTGCACTTAATGCACTGTCACTGTGGGCAGTTCAGCTGCTGCATTATCTCCTCACTTTTACTTTGTTCGTCATGTCTTATATAGGAAATATCCACCTTACAGGACTATTATTCATGCTTTAAACAGGTTGTAGTGAAGGTTAAAGAGAATTGGCGGCAAGACGAAGTGCTTTTGAAGAATTATGGCTATGGGGGTCAAATTCAAACATTATGATGTCAGGGCCAATCCGTATCCATTGGAGTACACAAGTGACGATGGCCGTATCATTTTGCCACAAAATCGTATGTTATCTCTGAGATGATTTTGATGTCGTTGATTAACGTAGATGCCTCCCGTTTCTTTTTGTTATATGGAGTAGGGTATATTGTAATCTCATTGGGAAGATAGTCTCAAGCGTTCCTGTAAGGCTGTAAAGCAATGGCATTTTCCCAAAGCCAAAGATTTTGTTACTTGTAGAACCCCCTTCAGTCTCTCTCTCTCTCTCTCTCACACACACACATGTGGGCTCAGTAAGCCCTCTAATCTTGTATCCCAGGCTTTGTAGAGATGCATGTCACTGTTCAAACATATGCACAATGGCCCAGAACGAACGTGGCATATATTCCGTATGCAGTTAGTGTGCCATTGTGGCATTCCGATTTAATAATATAAAGGGACAAGTGTTAAACCCTACACTCCCACGATGCCATTTGCGTTGCAATGGCATCCCAGAAGTGTAGGTAAGTTTCCCATAACGTGGGATGGTTGAGGCAGTTGAATGGTGGGAGGCATCGTCACTTTAAGTGATGGTCAGACATGACTTTGACTTGCCACGTGTCACCATCATGTCAAGACCCGCAGATGGCGCCAATTTAATGTAGGCCAAAGCCAAAGAGTCAAATTTTGACAAAAATAAAAGAAGCCAAAGAGTCAAAACAGATATAAATGTTGTGCGAAAAACTTACCTAGAAATGATAATGCGTGTGGTGGCCGTGGTGGGTAGATAAGGAAACATAAAAAGTTAAAACCTTAAAACAAATTAAAATAAAAAAAATGCTCGAATGGGTGTTGGTTTCAAATTTTCATAAACAACGAAAATGAGAAGACATTGAATAGATAGTAAGTCATATATAACTTAAGAATTGGTGTCTTTTGTTGTCTGTTTAGTAAGTTGTATACAAACAACGAATGGATCTCCAAATGTAGTAGAGAAAAAGAATGGAACTTTTCAGCAATACTGTACTTGTTTCTTGTATTGTAACTTGTAACCAGACTAGTGTTACTGGTATTTTTGAGATCATACTAGTTTGAGGATTACTAAATCTTATACTTGAATACAGGAACGAAAATGCAACTCGTGGTATTGTCCATGAGTCATAGTTACAATTAAGCCTTGCCTTTAATATTACTTTGAAAACGTTTTCAAACTTAGTCTTTCAATGAACTCCACATGTTTGCCATTGAAGTTTCCATGGACATAAATCTAGCAAATAAATTTGGAACCATAATATTTTCTGCATTGTTGGAACAGGAACAGGTAGCTGAGTGTTTGACTACGGGACTAAAATTTATTTGGCGTCTGCCTACAAATGTTGCATTAAAGCTCAGCAAAGAGGACAAGGCCTCCTCTTAGAGTAAGTTTGGGTGAAGAAAATAGGAACTTTAACGAAAAACTTCTGGTACTGTTTACTTTAACGAAAAATCATATTTTTACATTAAAAAGTCAATCATGGTACTATTCACTTTACCTTTATTTTGTTCTTATCGTTAAAACTCAAAATTTTCAAGCTATTTTCATTAGTTTTCCTAAAGAAAATTTACCATGAGGATACAATTGTATGAGGAAAATGAAATGTGTTCATTTTAGGCTCTAGTTTTGAGAGATTCTTGATTAGAGTCTTTTGTGTTACGTCATTCGTTTGCTCAAAATACACATAAAAAGGTTGTAAGATGGACGACCGCTAGGTGGGTAGGGTTGGGTGGATGGTTTGCTGCCAATCTTCCTAAACTGCGCATGGGCGAAGCTTAGAGCGTTTGAAATTGATCACTACATCGTATAGCATGGTACACGAACGCGCTGTTTTTTCTGGTCCTTGCACTTGGGATTCTCTTGTGTGTGTCTAGGGCGGAGAGATGAAGTGGCATGGAATAAACCTAAATACAGGGAATCCCCCCTCGTGTCGTGTGTGTCCTGGCGAACGAATGAAGTGGCACCAAATAAACCTTAATGCAAGGAATTTCTGTATGCGAATAACTTACAAGACACTGGATACACATTATCTGCGTCTCATGCCTATGACACAATGACATGCGGACAAAACTTTACACATTTCTTATTTCATGGACACAAGATGCAAACGTGACGGTGTACCCATGTCATAGGTGACTTGTCACATATGCCCCCACCAAATTCGGCGGTTCCGCTGCTCTGCTGCATGGATTACTAGTTTCCTTCTTCTCTATTTATTTGCACATTTGCAATTGTAAAACAAGACAACCAAATTCACCTCCAAGCTTTTTATCCAACTGCAATAACATTACATCTACATTTTAGAGAAGATGAAGCATCCTTCTATTGCTCTTCTTTTAGCAATTATAATACACCAACAATGTTTTATTAGTCCCATCCATGTTTCAGCAGCAGGTGATGATTTCATCAGAGTCAGGGGAGTGCATTTTCTTCTCAACGGCAGCCCTTACTATGCAAACGGCTTCAATGGCTACTGGCTCATGTATGTGGCTTCTGACCCATCTCAGAGGCACAAAGTCTCGTCTGCTTTCTGCGAAGCAACTAGCCACGGACTCACCGTGGCTAGAACTTGGGCTTTCAGTGATGGAGGTTACAGGCCTCTTCAGTTCTCCCCTGGCTCCTACAACGAGCAAATGTTTAAGGTTCCTCTCTCATACTTGGTTTGCTTTACTCTTTGTTTTTCCTATCTGTCACTCTCGACGCCTATGATTGGATTGGATAATTCACTGAACTAGGTCTCGTTTGGTCTTTACAATTGGATTGGAATGGATAATGCACTATATTGAAGTATGCATACAGTGAGTTACCTATTCACTCATAGTTACCAAACAAGGCCTCAAGGTATGCTGAAGTAAGAAATGAAGGCCAACTATCAAAGTTTGTCCCAAATGAAAGAATTAGATGGATTAATTTATAACTATAAGGTGTTGATCCTACCATTTTGTGTGGATTGAATGAGATGAGTTTCATTCACAAGTGATCCATCATCCATCTAATCCTAGGCCATTTCTTCTTTCAACATACTTTGAATTTGCTGAGTTATCTAATCCAATCTTAGCCACCACGGGCGCAAAAGATTTTTGAAGTTTGCACTAATGGTGGGTTTCGTAAATGTTTTCCTTCGGGTTTTGGTTTGAAGGGGTTGGATTTTGTGATAGCTGAGGCCAGAAGGTATGGGATTAAGCTGATATTAAGCTTGGTAAACAACTATGAGAGCTTTGGAGGAAGAAAACAGTATGTGAATTGGGCAAGAAGGAAAGGGCAGAACTTCACATCTGATGATGATTTCTTCAGGAACCCTGTTGTGAAGGGTTACTACAAGAACCATGTAACCGTAAGTGAAAGCAATAAGAACTCATTTAGTCTCTATGATTGGATTGGATAACTAATAAAATCCCACGTAAGTTGAAGATACGAGTTACTCAACATACCTTGGGTATAAATATATTATCCAATCCAAATCCGATCCTAGGCACAACGAGCCTTGAGACTATGCGACGAGCCTTTTCTGTTTATGAATATGCATGATCTTCATTTCTAATTTTGATCCATTTTTTTTTCAGACTGTTGTTAACAGATATAACACCTACACTGGAGTTCATTACAAAGATGACCCAACAATTATGGCCTGGGAACTTATTAATGAGCCTAGATGCTCATCAGATCCTTCAGGAAGGACTATTCAGGTTAAAAAAACAAGCTACTGACTATCAAATTTCATCTTTCTTAAACCAAGTTTCAGGAAAAGCAAAAATATAAACTAATCATAGCTCTTATAGAGGATAAGGCTGCTTGACTAGGATAACTTTCACATCGGGTGGGACGAATGTGAAGTTAGGTGAGACTAAAATACAGGGAGTCTCATGCTTTTGTGAGAGCTGCCTTATAAATGGAGTAGTGGTGTGCCCCTGCACAAGTTTTTCTCCTTGAGAATCAGAATAAATGCTAAATAGCAAAGCATAGATGGATAATATGCTAATTACCAAAATTGCAGCTACCATTTTTATGTGTTGTGCATTGCTAATTTAAGATGGATTTTTTTCTTTTCATGTCAGATTTTTACTAATTGGTGTTCATATTAACAGGCTTGGATAATGGAAATGGCTTCACATGTGAAGTCAATAGATAGAAACCACTTATTGGAAGTTGGTCTAGAGGGATTTTATGGACAAGCAATACCTCAAAGGATGAGTCTCAATCCTGGTTATAATATTGGAACAGACTTTATCGCGAATAATCGGATTCCTGGGATCGATTTCACAACAGTTCATTCTTATCCTGATCAATGGTAAACATTCCTTAACTTGCAGGATCATGTCAACTTTCTTAGTGGTGTACTTATACCGGTTTTTGCTTGAGCAGGTTGGGTAGCTCTAATGATCAACATCAGCTCGCTTTCTCGAACAACTGGCTCAATACCCACATCCAAGATGCACAGAACATTCTTCAAAAGCCGATATTCATCGCGGAGTTTGGGAAGTCATGGAAAGATCCCGGTTTCAGCACCTACCAAAGAGACTTGCTCTTCAACACCGTGTACTCCAAGATATACTTTTCGGCGAAAAGAGGAGGAGCAGCTGCCGGGGGACTATTCTGGCAACTTCTCACTGAAGGCATGGACTCTTTCCGTGATGGATACGACATAGTTCTGAGTCAGAGTCCCTCGACAGCAAATGTGATTGCTGAACAGTCTCACAAGCTCAATCAGATTCGGAAGATCTTTTGCGCGGATAAGAAATGCTCGGATGTGGAAGAGGGCAAGGGCCATTAGAAGGGATGAATGGTTGGGTAGAAACTGTTGGTTTTATTTATTTAGATTATAAATAAACATAATCCACCAAATAGGAGATGGATTATGATAACATCTTTAATTATTTGTTATAATTAAAATGCAAGGAACATGCTTGGTATTATGGGCTTGCCTTAGCATCCAAGCCTCCACCCTAAACCCTAGCTAGACCACTATAATAGAGGTCTTAAGGAATTTCCTCCTCACTCACAAAACCCTCCCAAACACTCGATTCACCAAGATGGAGGGGGAGACTTAAGAGGAAACTCTTAGAAGCAATTCCAAGTAGCCAACTCACCGCCCTATGTCTCAAATTTGTACACGAAAGCCCCAATTCATGCGTGTTCGTGGTTCCTCGCTCGAGACGGTCGTAAGAACAAGAAGGTTGTTTGACATAAGGTTTTTCTGCTAAGTATAATCCCTAAATCTTGAGTATTTATATATGTTGCATATTCATATATTTCTAATAGTGGTATTAGAGCTAATAGCTCTTGTTTTTCGCCATTCAATTGATATATGAGCTGAGAACCTTCATCAATACTGGATATGGCTCAAAACTACATAAGCCATAACATACATAAAAATGTATTGTGCAAGAATCCACAATTCCCTTTTTATTATTTATTTACTTTACTAAAACAAAGATACTCTAGTAATTGCCTGTAACTATAGTAGTTGTCGCGTCATGTGGAGACTCACGACCACAACCTGTTCTTTTATGATTTCACTTCAAATACGAGTTGATCTCCAAGTTGGATGCGAGACACAAGCAAAGAAAATTAAGAAGCCATGGAGTTTGATCGAGTTCTTAGAAACTTCTCAGTTTGTCCTAGTGGGACTTATATATAGAAGTTGTTGAATGTCACCATATGAGCCACTCTTGAACTCAAGGACATCTTGGAAGAGAAAGAAATGCCTTAAGACTAGGATATGCATTTCAAGTAAAATGAGAGAAACAATAATTTTTTTCTATAATAGTATGGAGTGCTATGTCATATGATATGTGACTATAAATTTTTTGTCTTATGCAAGTTGAAAAGAATTCTATGATGCGCTTGATATTGATATGAGCGATCATAAATTAACCTAGAGTTTATTGTGTTCGTTAAGCGAAATTTTGAAAATACTTGTGTGATTAAATGAAGAGAGTTCTTTAATATCAAGATGGGACCATTGCCCTCTCTATTGGCCACCTTGATGTGGACTAGAGACATCCCTTAAGGATGAGCAATGAAAAGAGAAATAAAGGCAACATAGTATGAGGTGATGCACCTAGATGTTCTCTCAAAGGATGAGAAACAAACTTATATTGCCTAACCCACTTTATATAGAGTTCAAGTTAGCCATAAACCTTGAGGGTAGGGTACGTAGGGGGCGTAGCTTGAAGTTTGAAGACGAAGTTTGAAGCATCTTGCAAAGACTGGATAGCCCAGAGATGAGAAGCTATACTAGAATGCAGAAATGGAACTGCTCTAGTCCACGCCTAAAATTGCTTTAACCAGAAATGATTGTTTCAATTAGAAGTGCACAAAGAAGATGCAGTCCAGAGACGCATCTTAAGCAACTAGCATGGTTAAAACCATGACTAGAGTTGCTTTTTGACATTATAATTGATGTTTACTGCCTCATTTCATACATGGAATTGAAATGATGCAAACACATCTTTATTATGTCACCGGACTTTGAATGGGTTCACTCACACGAACGCTTCACCTTGGCATCTTGAGATAACAAGCAAGTTGAAACATTCATGTCCTAGACACATATAGTGTATCCGGACATGTCCTGGGCGCAGAGAAAGCATCCCGACGCGCGCATTACTTAATTGGTACAACAAAGAATGCACGTGTATTATCTGATATGTCACCTTAGAGAGCGAACTAAGGCCATCTCCAACCGAGCTAGCCAAATGGCTATAGGGCTAAAAATAGCTTAGAATGACATGAAAACCGTCTCTAACCAAGGGCTAGGCCAAAGGGTTTGTGGACCCCACCGCGCCAAAACCCCCAAGTCAGGCCAGCTGACCATTTCCAGCCAGCCAGCCAACCCTCCAGTCCGACCCACCTGGCGTTAGAATGTCAAGCATGACTTTGTGGCAGGTGTAAGAATACCACACTTTCTTCGTTATTGTGCTTTCTTTATGCCAAAGGGTGCTTCAATGGACAATTTTCTAACTCAAAACGAACTACAATGGAAGATCAAAACAAGAGAGATGAAGGAGAAAGAGAAGTAATCTGGAGAGTTACTCACTTTAACGACACATGTCACTTAAAATCCTATCCGACAAATTATTGAGGTTACATAAAGATAAGAAATCTAGAGAATTACTCACATTAGCGACACGTGTCACTTGAAATCCTATCCGAAAAATTATTGAGATTGTATAAAGATAAGAAATCAGGAGGCTTATTCATTTACCGACAAGTGACACTTAAAATATGTCTGAAAATCTTATTTTAATATGGTAATTTAATTTAATTAACCATATTAATTCAATTAAAAGAATAAATTATTGAGGAGGTTATGTTTGGCCTATGGCTCTTTAGCCCTCTTGATTGGAGATGAGTTTTTTGTCAAAGGGCTATGTTTGGCCTATGGCCCTTTGGCCGCCTCGGTTGGAGATGGTATAAAATATAGTTTGGCACTGTTCATTAAAATATAATTTCTTGCAAGGCTATAGGGCTAAACATGGCCCTTTGACCATCCTTTGGTTGGAGATGGCCTAAGATGAGATGTTATGATGGAGAAGGTCGATCTTGGCATAATTTATGTATATATTTCCGTGACTCCAAGTAGCCTAGTTATAGCTGAATGTGAATTGTCTAATATAGGAGCCTGGATGGCATCCATGCCAAGAAATTCAGGTTTGATGCTAGCATAGCATAGCAATTGCGCTCAGAGTCGTATGACGCACCAAATATATGTTTCAAACAAATTGATATGCTCGTATTTGAAGTATGAGATTACGTCATAACATACATGTTTGAGACTAGAGTCAAACAACTATATGTGCTTAAGTTGACCAAAAAATAGTTAGAGTAAGGAATAAATCACTTCTTCAGTATTGTGTGAGCCATTGAATTTTTGAATCCAAGAATTTATACCCTTTGGACTAAAGACTATGTCAGAAAGAGGATACTTGCCGACTGTTGTTTTAGCGTACTTACTTGAAGACGCTCATCAATTATTACTGTCTAAGGGGTCTGTCTAGGAAAGCGGTCAAGTCTACTCAAACTGACATGAGTGCTTAGGAAAGACTGTTTGTCATTACACCACTTTAATGTAACTCATTAGCTAGCTAGCGTTTGCGTAAAAGGCGATAACATGATAATAACATGATTACATTTAATACTTGAGAGAAAAGACATTGCTTTTTCACGAGGGATTAAAGAATGTCTTGTTCTGTGTTTTAGAAAAACAATTTAGGGTATAGACGAAACGCCATCGAGAGAACGTTTTCATTGGCTATGCAAATAGTTTAAAGTTTTCTGTTCCTATGCTATACATATTTTCGTTGGGTCGCGTCTTAATCCATTCTTTGTGAACGTCAGAATGTTGGGAACTTGGGATGATGACAAGTGAATGTGAACGTGAGGACGTCACTCCTATTTGGGTGAGTGGGAGATGTTAGTTTTATTTATTTAGATTATAAGTAAACATAATCCACTCAAACAGGAGATGGATTATGATAACATCTTTACTTATTCATTAATAACTTAAAATACAAGGAATATGCTTCGTATTATGGGACGCCAAAGCATCCCGCACGCAAGCCACATCCGAAATTCCCAAGGAAATTTACCACGGTGAAAGTGGAGGCTCAAATCAAGAGGAAACTCCTAGAAGCAATCCTAAGTAGCCTCTCACCACCCTGCGTCCCAAACCTATACACGAAAGCCCCAATTCATCATGTGTTCGTGGATCCTAGCTCGAGTATGGTTGTAGGAATAAGACGGTTGTTCGCCTCATCCGCTTGGTATAATTCTTGAGTGTATACATACATACATACATACATACATACATACATACATACATATATATATACTCTTTAAAAAGGCAAGCCTATAGGAGATTGATCAAATGCATTACACTTGTGAGGCTTCTGTTATGGTTTCTCTGTTAGAGATGATTCGGATGAACTTTTTCCCTCCAGGAAGGAAACTTGTGTTACACGTATAGTTTGCACTTTTCTTTGCCCTGCATGTCTCGACGTCTCGTACTTATGTTGTCACTTGTCAAGTGTGACGTGGGTTTTCCAGGAAGTTTTCTGGTTTGTAGAAAACCAGACAGCTTCAAAGTCAAACATGTTATTTCATTCTGTCAAGCTTGTAATGCTGCTGCAAAATGAAAACCCTAATTTGTTCTTGTGTTGCTCTTTGTGGGATGAAATCTCGAGGCTACAATGGTTGGAGATCGATGTGACTTAGAGTTTTGTAAGCGTGTTAAATCTCAAGGCATGTAGCATATCGCTTCGACTATGGAGCTCAATATTCAACTAGAGTTTTTTAGCGTGACTATCATGAATTTACGTGAAGTCACTAATCGATTTATATTATAATATGTGAATTTATTTATTATTACTATTAATATCATAAATTGATGTTATATCAATCATGTCGTCTATTTATATTGTAACACATGAACTGTCACACCCAAAAGTTTCCTTATGCTATAACGAGTGTTGTTCATGGAACACATAGAACATGAACTCATGACCTCTTCAAACACAATAAATTTTAGGGTTCATTATGAAACCATCACGTGGGGGTTTTATAAATCCACTCACGTTATAACAATATAACATGTGTTTTATTTATTGATACGAAACACATTATGCATGCTATATTATAATATATGAACTAATAACGTTACGCGTCTGTGTTACGAGTACACTCGGAAAAGTGCGCTCAAACAAATTAGTCTCCCTCGGTGCCAAACCAGTCGCAGAGTATTTCTGATTGAGATTGAGTTAATCCCATGTCCATTAGACAACAATAGCCAGAAAAATATTCGGCGCTTCTAACCTGTAGGCGCCAAATGTCTCTCATGGTCGCTTAATAACCAGAACATGATTTTATCAATTAGACCTCATATTCGACGAATATTTACAGCTTCAGCCTTC